GAAGACGATGGCAAAGAACGGTGAAGATGATGCCGAGGATGAGGAGGAGGATAAGGTGAGGAGAAAGAAAAGGATGAAAGATGTTACAGTTAATTATTTAGGGAGAAGAAAAGTGTAGAAATGGGAAATAAAAAGACAAAAAGGAAATGATGATTTTTAAAAAAAAATTATATTACGACCTATTCATTATATGGAAAAAATTTTTGTCCACATCATCAAAACTTTTTCACGTGGCATTTTATTTATTAACGTGTAATAACAAAACTTTTTCACGTGGCATTCTATTTATTAATGTGTAATTCTATTTATTAACGTGTAATAACACGTCAACAATAAAAAGAAAAAGGACAAAATATTTAACAGATTGTAGTGCCACTCTGTCACTTAACTGACGGGAGGACCAAAAAGGGGTCGGATTTTGAAATTTAGGGACTAAAAAAGGGATTTTTTCGGTATAAGGACTAAAAAAGGGCTTTTTCCTATAGTAGAGGGACCAAAAAAGGTATTTAACCATTTAAATTTTGTCACTAATAATAATTTGTGATGAAAAATAAAGATTTAATGATCAATAATTTAGTCACTAAAGTTGGATTTTCTTGTAGTGTCTCAAAATAACAAAAATGTGCAATTTCCCCTTAATTAAATGAAGTATTGTTGTTTTGAAATTGGAAAACTCCTTCTCCAAACATATACATTGTTTTTTATTTTTTTTTTAAGTTTACAATTTTATAATTTAAACTATGTCAGATTATAAAATCAAGACATTCAAATGAGAAGGGCACGTTCCCCCTCTAGTAGCCAGTTTTGGGCTGCGTTAAAACATTCCTGCTCCCTTTCTCCAAATAAGTACTTACATTAATTTTATTTGCAGTGAAATATTTCTTAGGCTAACATGGAAATAGATACTTCTCGAACCATGATTGTCCCTGAAGTTCTCAAGGAAGGTAATTATGAAAGATGGAGCATTTTAATGGAACACTATTTAGTGGCTCAAGATCTTTGGGATGTTGTTCGATCAAGCGAGATGCTTGGAGGAGGAAATAAGAGGGAGTGGATGAAAAAAAATGCTTTAGCTCTACATGCCATTGGGATTTCTTGTGGAAGAGAAGCATTTGATCAAATAAAAAATAAACGCTCCGCCAAAGTTGCTTGGGATGCGTTGGCTGCTAAGCTGAAGCCCCCATCAGTTGTCGAAGATGTTACTCCTGATATTTCTGAGCCCGACCAAGAAAGGCAAACAGGTTCCCTTTTTATTTTAATTCTCCTTAATATTCCATCTCACTGTTGGAGCTATTTTTTCCGCATTGGTCATTGATGAGGTTTAGCAATCAAGTTAACTATATATATTCTATTTTAATTTTATAGAGATGTTTTTTACAGTTTGTTATGCACTTAAAAATATTAATTTAGAGTTTAAAAAGATAAAAATACCCTTAATCAGGAGTGTATGAAGATTTGTTAACAGTGATTTTGCCTTTTTTCACATTATGGGTGGAAGATTTAATTGCAGTTTGCAAAAAAGAAAAAAAAGAAAAGAAACATTTTCTTAATTTTAAAGAAAAGTGATATTTTAAAAACCAGACTAGGGTTTAATTTGATAACATTGTCCAATGTTGCCTTGTAATTGTAATTGTTAAAAGTACTATATTATACTATCACAAAAATTGTTTTAGTGTTTGGTAATTATATTTCAAAAAAATTATTTATTGTAAAATTACTCAATTAAACACATTATTATTTAAAATTAAATT